CCTGCCCTCAGGCCCCCAGGGCAGACGCGAGCCTCCTCTTCCCCTCGCCGCGGGGTCTCCGCTCTTTCCTCCTGCTTGCCCTTTCCCCTCTTTTCATTCTTCTGCTCAGCCTTTCAGCCCCGGTTGTGGTTGTACAGCTTCGCCTTCTGCGGGCCTGTCCCTGGAACACGGTTCCTGTCCACACTGCCGATTAGACTGGGTACTGTGGGCGCTGGGACTTGGCTCACCAGCTGCGTTGGCCTGTAGCTGTTCTCTGCCATTTCTGCACCTTTTACGAAGAATTCCCCAACTCCAGACACTGCCCAGTGCCCTTTAGACAGGCGATCCTCTTCCTAACAGCCTTTCGGGTAGTTCCCCGCTATTCAAAGGAGAAGTGATAACCACTCTTAATGGTGAGCCCCGGCTCTTTTCTTAATCAGTACCCTGCCTTCACTTTTGCTCTTCTAATTCCACGCTTGTGTTGAAAGGCCTTAAAGCCCAGGCTCAGGGTAGAGTCTATTGCCTGTTTTCCACACGGCTGTCTCACACTAGTCTCAAGTGCAACACACACACACACACACGCACACACACAAAGCAAAGGGCTTATATTTCTTGCATTTACTATTTCAGTGACAGTACCAACATTTTACCTAGGACAAAAACCGAGGGATATATACATTTTTAAATTTCCCATTCTCCTTATCCCTCATGCTCAATTGAACCCTACGTCCTGATAACTTATTTTACCCCCGAAATTAATTGGGCCCCTCACTACACTGCTAGGTCAGATAAGTCACTTTTATTTGTTTGCTGTGCCTTTGCCAGAGCCTTATACCATCTCCCTGTGGTCTTTACCCTAAAGGTCTGTCTTTTATTAAACTGATCATTTCCCTGGCTTTAAAACTGTAATTGCCCCCCAGAAAGACTCAAAGCACGGAAAAGCCTTAGTACTTCATCTCTCTTTTAGTTTCTTATTACTGGTCTAACAAATTACAACTTTAATGGCTTAAAAGACCACAAGTTTATTACCGTACAGTAATGGAGGCTGACACTGGAAAATGAATCTCAGCTGGGCTGAACGGAAGGTGTTGGATGGGCTGTGTGGCTCAGGGGCACAATCTGTATACGTTTTCTGTCTTCTAGAAGTCGCTCCTTCCTTCTTTTTCAAACCCAGCAGTACAGCATCTTCATCTCTCCCAGATTCAAACCTCTGCCTCCCTTTATGGCAATAAACAAATCTTTCTGATTCACTGGGCCCATCTAAACGATCCAGGATAATTTATTTAAGGTAAACTGATCAGCAGTCTTAACCTCATTAATGTATCTTACTTCTCCTTTGGTATGAAGTAATGTACTCACAAGGCTTGGAAATTAGGATGTAGGTACCTTTGAGGTCCTATTCAACTGTCTTTCCTTCCGTTCTAGCTACAACTTCCCCGTACCATCTGTACATACTGTCTTTTCTTCATAAAAAAATTATTGACACAATTCAGTAACTTTAAACAATTGACTGTTGTTTCTCACATTCTCTGGGTTGGTCAGCAATTGTTTTGTTTGGGGCCTCTCTAGCTTGGGCTGAATTCTTTTTTTTTTTTTTTCTTTTTAACAAAAATTTTTTTTTTCATTCAATTTGTTGGTACTTTTTGGGTATACAATATAGTTACATTTATCATTGGGATCTTGTACCTGTACATGACATACCTTGGTTCTCAATTTTTCCCCATACCCCTGCCCTCCCTTTATCCCCTCAGAGACTTTGTTTTCATTTTTCCCTTTTTTCATGTTTATTTTCCTTATTTCCTTTCCCCTACCCTTCCCACTACCCCTACACCTTTAACCCCTTTCTTGCTGTTTCACATTGTCAGTTATACAATTTGGATCTTATTTACAATTTTAGCTTTTCACATCAGAGAAACTATTCGGTATTTACACATGTGTGTCTTATTTATTTCACTTAAGAGTATGGCCTCAGTATACATCCATTTTCCTATGAATGGCTCTAGTTTCTCATTCTCTATGGCTGAGTAGTATTCCATTTTATAGAAAAACCATATCTTCTTTATCCAGTCTCCACCTGATGGGCAATTGGGCTGTTTCCAAGTTTTAGCTCTTACAAACTGCCGCTCTAAACATGGGTGTGTCTATATTTTTGAGGGTTACCTCACTCACGTGACTGGGCTTCCTGACGAGAAGACTGGACTGGTTGGTGTGACTGGATCCCTCTGTGTATGCTCTTCTCGTCCTGGTAACCTCAGAGTTCAGTATCAAGAGGGAGAGAGCACTGTTGGGTTTTTGTGGTTCTTCCCTGTTTGGTAGCTATTGTGGCCCGGGCTAAAGCGAGTTGTGTTGCCAAAGTGAGAGCATTAGAGGCAGCTGCTCACAGGTCTTCAACAAAGTTTCCATCCTTGGGGATCATTACTGCAATACTCAGATTATTCGTTGACCTCCATGATTCAAGTTTCTCCCCTGTTTGAAACACATTCAGCCCACTGAAGTCAACCATAGTTTCATTCAGTAGTGTTATCTAGCTTCAAATTTAATATCTGGTAATATACATCATGTCTAGGATAGCACCTTGGATACCAGCTCTATTAATCTGAAGACCTGTGAACTGAAAACCAAATTGAAACAACAATCAATAGATGAGTAACAAATTCCCCCGAGCTTTAAGGCTCAAAATAATGTGACAGCTCACCACTACCACCTTTGGAGTGGTTCTTTCTGTGGCCTCAGAAATTTCCTCCACACTTTGCTTGCAAATAGGCAGCAAATGCTCCCAGATAACCCTCTGCACCACGCTGGAGTGCTCCTCCCCCGAAGCACTTGCCTCTCAACCTCTGTCTCTCATGCTCCATGCACTCTATGCTGCACCCCCGGTTCTCCCTGCCTGTGCTGTAATCTGGCAACTTCCTCAAACTGATAAGCAAGGGGCCACATGATGGCTCATCTCTTTTGTTTGCTATTTCTCAGGAGTCACTGTCTTTCATCGCTCGATATTCACTTTATTGAAAAAATTTTTTCATATATTCTGTTTCTTCATGTTTCAGGTGAGTTTCAGACATGCACATCTCCTTGTCCACCATTTGTTGTGGTGAACAGAGTAGAGTTTTGCATTCTTTGCAGGGAACAATCACTCTTATTTTGGGAAAATTCTGTGTAAATGAATCTCGACAGGTACTCAGTCTCATTTTTAAATGAAACCTAAGATCGGGCACATTCATTCTGCATGCCTTGGCAGCAAGGTCATGGATGTGACTTTGTATTGTGAAAGGAAATTGATTCAAAGATTCCTGTTCAGTAAAGGACCACAGAGCCAGGCACTGGCTGATTTCCAGTGACAGCGCAAGCAACGTTTTAATCGAACTGTGTGTGGCTTGATATTGTATTTCCTTTCCTAGCTCTTGTACATTTTCCTCAACTTGAATACCAGGGCTTTTTTATGTATTCTGTGAGCTTCTCAAATCTTTCCTGTGAGTTTTTTTTTCTGCCTCAGAGAGCCAGGCTTGACTTCTATTATTTGCAACGCAAAACTGTAGTTCCCACAATAGTTGCTGTGCTCCTAAATTGTCTTCATTTTTATTTGTCATTTCTTAGTGTACCTCTAAGCAGAAGACTCAAGTCATTTGGTTTTCAACATTTCTTTAGGCCTAGTTGAGAAATATGATCTTTAGGATTCTGTATAACAATTTTCTAGCCAAACATTTTTTGTGTGTATATGAGTGTGTATATATACCTTTCTTATGTTCTGAAATAATTCTCTTGCCAACTAATTACAAACATACAGATTAAAAAAACAAAATATACAGGTAAAACAATAAAAATGGAAGTTTTTATTAGCAAGAGGCTTTTTTCTATGGATGCTTTTAGGAGAATATACTCTGTTGTCTAGAATTACTATGGTAAAAAAACATTGGGATATTTACATTTGTGAATGATGGTGTCTAGGAAAATGTTATACTCTATAATCAATACAAACCTCTCAAATAAAATATAGTGTTGTATAATCCAGTGAGCTCCTTCCATGAAAATGAGCCCCCACCACCTCCAGTTACCTCCTTCCTTCCCTGGGGCCAGAATGATGTTGTCAGACTGGACCTGGGGAACTGAAGCGGAGGTCCTGCTTTTTCCTTGCTTACCTGTGTGTTGTGACTACATAGGTTTTTGAAAGTATTGGTAAAGTTTGATAATAGATAGGATATTTGAGTCTTCAATCAACCTGATTATGATAATCCTCAAACTTCACTCTTCTGTTAATTGATTCAATAATTTTGGTATTTTGAAGAGACATGTGAAGAACAATTTTACAGTGACAAGGTAATAAATATGTGTGAGCAAAAGATCAGCGGGAAGAAAAATATTACACCTTTAATAGCAGATCCCACACTTGATCTTAGCCAAAAGGCTGAGAAGTGATAATAGTAGAGGATCCTTAGACATTTAACTTATATACATGAAATGTATTTTATAAAATATTTAGTGTTCAGAATTCCACATGTTCCTTTTTTCACCGAGCAGTATATCTTGATGATTACTCCATATGAGCATACTGGGATTTAGTTACTTTCTATCATGCATGTATGGTGTTTAATGCTGGAATTACCATATTTTTTACACTAGCTTCTTATATTTTTTATGTTACAAAATTCTATAATAAGCATCATTTTATTCAGATTGTAGGATTAAAGTGCCTATTTCTGTTTTTTTTTCCTTTTAGATGTGTTCGTTTTTCCTCAAAGTAGTCACATTCTTTAACACCCACACAAATGTTATGCGTGTGCCGTTAGTATTCTCTCCACGTTGAATAGACTTTTCTTATAAGTTGTGGTTTCAAGTATGGCTAAAAGCAGTTGTCTATTGTTATCTCTGTCTACAATCTTAATGGCCTCTATCTCTATCGCTCTCATCTCTGTATCTCTGTATCTCCATCCATAGTTTATTACTTTTAGTGAAAATAGTTTCCTTACTACTTTGCCCAATTTTCACTCCTCTTATTTTTTATGAAATTTTCACTCTTGCCAAATTTAAGCAAAATCTGTAGAAATTTTAGTTATTTTTAAAAATTATATGTTTAAATGATAAGTGAAGGGAACAAAGATGAATATAAAAGTGATTAAATTATAGACTAAGCTGCAAAATTTATAACCGCATATCTTTAAAAGAATCAAAGCAAAATTCAGTAATCACTGGAAACCTCAAGTATGTGGTTGAAATAAAAATGCAATAAATTGAAATAATCTTGTTCTTGTGAAGCTTGATTATGCATACATGATTTCACAGTAGG